AAACTATCTAGAAGCATCTAAATTCTTAATGGGCAAAATGTTATCTAAATTATAAAGCCTCTATCTAATGTTCACTATTTCTGAAATACCTGAGCTACTACAGAAATCTGGGGTACATCTTGATCTACAGCAACTTATAATATGTTCAACATAAATAAAGAGAGACAAAAAGGTTTTAAACAATGCATATGAGAAATTAGATAAAGACAGAAGCAAGGAAGGAAACAGACATAAAGGGTCTAGCTGAGGAGTGAGGGGGGGGGGGGGCTGTGCCATTACATCACTGCTGCAGTGGCTGACTTTATCCCTGCCTGTCCCTCTCTTTTTATGTCCTCAGACACCATTCAGAAGGTGTAGAAATTCTCCTTACCAGTGCTCTTCAAGGAATTTCATTTAATTTCTAATCATATATATATATATATATATATATATATATATATATAGTCATATGCATGTAGTATGTATGAATATAGAGCCATGGGGAGACAAAGAGCAATACGCTAGCCAAACTAACCTGGCCCTCTTTAAAAAAACAAATTGCCATCTACAGTAATACCTGGTTGTCATTGCTTTAGAAGTGTAATTGATATAAAGTGTTTAAAATACTATATCTGATAGTAAATCTTGACATCACCATGGAAAAATGTTGGCACACCACCCTGTGCCAAAAAGTTAACTTACTATAGTTACTCTAGTATGAATGACAGGCAGTGGGTGCTGGCCAATAGAGGGCACTAGGATGCCCCACAACTTCTTGTTTTGTTCTTGTTTTGTTAAAAAACAAACAAATTAAAATTAAATCAAACATTTCAAAATATATTGATAGATATTTTTTAGATGTGCAAGAAAAAGTTTTAATCTTTAGTGATGAGTAAAGCACCATTTTCATTAGGAGAGCTCATGGCACAGCTATGGTGCACCTTGAGTTGACAGGAACTGTGGTCACAGTTGTGCGGGTGATTGAGAGCTTAGTTGCGGGAGAGAAGCAAACAAGAGAATCTGGAGGTGAAAGCTTTTGATCAGCCGACCTGATCAGCCGAACATCGAAAATTAATCAGCAGTCCAAAGGACACATGAAGACTGTACAACTCTGTCTTTTTCCAGGAACTGGTTTAGCTACAAGGCTCTGCTAGCTGCATGCAGCGAGACTAACGCTTTATTCTGCTTTCCCTGCCTCCTTTTTCAAATGTCAGGATCTGACCCAGCATGGATAAAGACAGGTAGGACTGATTTAAAGCACTTTTCAGAAAAGGCAAAGAAGGATGAGTAATCTGGGATTCACATGGAAGATAATAAAATACATAGAACTTTTCCAAAGTGTTTGTTAATTTGCATAGTTTCTCTTAAATAAACAAATTCTCAGAAAATAAATAGTTTTTATATATTAAAAGATGTAAAGCTGCCCAATAGCATCTGCATTATTAAAATGGTACATTTTTATTTTGGTTAGTGACACAATATTGGACTATGCAAAACACAGGTTTGCCTTCACAAAGCCCCTGAAGGGCAACATTAATGTACAAAAAGTAAACCTGTTCATGAAATTATGTTTTGTTTTTATAAAGTGTTATTACAATGTTTTTCTGTTGTTGGCATTCATATAAATATGCTGGTGTGATAACTTATAATCTTCAAAGTAATTAAGAGTTAGAAGAAGTGCAGATTTGTTGCTCTTTATTTAGTTTGATAATAGTGAAAGTTATGGAGGGCCAAGCCGAATTCTTTGTGCATTTCAATCAAAGCTGTCGTGACTCCATCCTACAGCTGGGTTTATCTTCTCTATTCTTCTCCTCCTTTCTCTTTAAGTGCATTTTGTTATTTATCTACTTCTCCCCTTCTGGGTACCTGCAGATGTGGTATATCCCTGACAATCTACCCAACCCAATGAATCTTTATCTAACTTAACAGTAAGCAATAAATCTTCTCTGGCTTTTCCTTGACATTCTGCCAGATTGTTGAAGTCACTGATCCAATACTGTCTGCCCACCTGCCTTCTTCACAGCTTTGTTATTTTTATCTTTATATTAATTAAGATGTACAGTATACAAAATAAAGCAGACCAAGGTGAGGATAACTTTTTTCCCGAACTGTCTTGTCTGCCTAGGAGTGATGAGAAAAGGAGGGATTTAACAGAAAGGAGAAGGGCAAACAGACCTGCTGGGAAATGCCACTAAAAAATTCCTTCATGAAGACAGCATTGACGATAGATTGAGGGAAAGTTTACAAGTTTTCACATCAAATTATTTCATTACTTTTATACTGCTTTGCCAGAACGGTAGCTTTTCATTTTATGTTTATATTAGAGCTATATGTTACAATCTTGAATGCCTAACAGATATGTTTTATTTAGACAGTTAATTAAACATTAAATCCTAAACATGAGAAAAGAAACAACAGCTGTTGCTTCCTTTTCTGTTGGAAATCAGTTCAATATTACCAAAAATGTATGGACTTGCATTTAATATCTCCAATGTAAGAAAGATAGAAACACTCTTCCTCTTTCTATTTCCTTTTAAAGGTCCTGTGACCCAATAGGTTTATAAGAAATGGGTCAGTTGTTCTCGTACCCGTTGTCGACTGTTGTCATCCATTTGTATAATATCACTTAATTAAGCCTTTTCTTACATTCCACATCACAAAATGAGTAATAAAGGTATGTATGATGTTTGGTGATATCTTAATACGTCAGTATCTGTGTCGATCAGTGCTCAAAGCTGCAATATCTGTGTTGTTTTGGAAATCCAGAAGTTAAAACCAGAAACATCTTTCATTCTGAAAATATTTTCCATTTCAACTCTGGTTAGCATGGTGGCTTAACTTCAAATGATATTCAATTCAATTCAATTTAATTAGACCTTATTAATCCCTGAAAGGAAATTGAGTTTCCGAAGGGGAAGGAAAAAGGTAACTTAGCTTGATTTTAGCATTGTTAATGAATTGTTGATAGTACTAAAACAATCACAGGCAGTGTCAGTGGTACAAAAACCACAGTTTGAGAACCATGGATGGAAGTCTTTGTTTCCTGACAATTTGTCGGCTCTCACATCTTAACCCAGACAACTAAGCATATCAAATAAAGACAAAAAACTGGGGCTTGGTGCTGTAGCAGGGGTTGAGGCAAGTGACCCAAGTATGGAGGCCTTAGTCTGCGAGGCAGGTGTCCCAGACCAATTTATTTTTGCTGCAATCCTTCCTCTATCCTCTCAATCCCATTTGTGCGTGCTAAACAAAAGCCACTAGAGTCTAAAAAAATGAATAAATATAGTTATCTTCCTCAGACCTGAGTAATTAAAAGAATGTCAATGCCAAATGCTTCTTGAAATACATTATACATATTGTCAGTTTGAAAATTATGAAAAGGTTTTAAACAAATTTGATTTCAACAACTGCATTAAGAGACAAAAGCAGGATTTGATAAAGAATATATGAAAGCTTAAAGGGGTCATAGAATACAAAACAGAGTTTACATTGTCATAGATAAATAACGATAGTTCAGTGGGTGAAATGGATCTCACAATTCTAAACTTCCACCATAAAACGGGCTAATTCCAATTAAGCACCGAATTGAGGTCAATTCAGGGATGTTGCTTCATTTGGTTCTGGCCTTTACTTTTGTCACACCACGAAATTGACATCCATACACATACTGACTGTGAAGACATTTTAACAGTCTTCCTAAGGATCCGAAGACTCGCCAGGCATGGATTATTTTTGTTTATCAGAAGATCCCTGCAAAGTTTGATGCTCAGCTGTTCATTTGCTCTTTAGCAAGATTTGCTAAACTTCTTTCACTGAAATGAGGGGCTGTTCTGAATGTAAGGCCATCACAACCGCAAGCTGGAAGTATTATACTGTCGCTAAGGCTGCTGGGCCGTTAACTGGACATTCGAACCGAGCCAGCTGGGGACAGAGCGACCAAACCCGACCCAGTGACGGTATGCCTCCCCCCGCCTGCCCGGTAAGGCTGTTCAAATACTGTTGGTGTAATAAATACCATCCATTCATCCATTTTACGTCACGCTTATCCCAAGTGGGGTCTCGTGGGGTGCTTGTGCCTATCTCCACTTGTCAGCTGTGCGAGAGGTGGGGTACCCCTCGGACCGGTCGCCTGTCCATAGCATGGCAACACCGAGACACACATGACAAACAACCATTCACGCGCACACTCACACCTAAGGAGAAC